ACCCTCCCCCGAAGCACCTCAACCTCCTGCCGAAGAGGGGCAAGAGTAGGACTCAAAGGGGAAAGGGGATAAGGGGTATGGGAAGAGCTCCCTTCTGACTCATTCGGAAGATCATAGCACTCAGGACTAGAACCTAAGAAAGACATTGTTTAAAGTTATCTAAGAAATGTGGAGGAAGAAAGAGTGAGAGTGAAGTGTTAAAGGTTGGAGAGTCTAGAAATTGAGTTCACTCGAAGGCAAAGGCGCTTAGAGGCAAACGACAAGAATGCTACCGGTAAAGGCCCTATTTAGAGAAGAACGAACGGCCCAGAATTCTCGAGATCCAACAACTAAGAAGCCACTGCCTCCACATCCCAATCATGGTGCGCTGCGTAATGCTCACCCTCGAAAGGCGAAATGATGCGCGAGCAACAACACAGATCGTCCCTGATCCAACGGACGCAAAACGCCTCCACACCTGCAATCCAGTCACGTCGCACCCCCAAACGCCCATCCTCGGAAGGCGAAACGACGCTTAGGATGAACCGACGTGTCCACCCACTGTGAACCACCGGCTTATGCGACCCGGTCGCGCGAACGCGTGCACCGGTCCGACCGGAAAGCCGTCTCACGCACAGATCCTCGACCTCACAGGCCCTCGGCTTAAACAGCCTTCGGCTTCATAGGTCCTCGTCCCAAATGGCGGCACCAGAGCGTCCGCACTGAGCGTGCCCCCCGGGTCACTTGTCCGAAGCAGCAATAGTGTAGACCACTCGCAGCCTTGGCCCAACTTACAAAGACGAACCAGGTAAAGACGCGAAAGAGGACACCACTACTGGGTACACCTCGGTTGTCAGGCCCACTGGCGCTACAATTACTACTCCCATCAGCCGAAGTCGAATTTTTCTCATCGGCCTCGTGAGTGGAGGGAAAGTGATGTGGGGTGACCCAACCCAGCCCAGCCCATTCGAGGTTGGGAGGCCCAGCCCATGAGCGCCAGACTTGGGAATGAGATCCGCTACAGCAGAAATTACTATGCTCCCCTCGTACGGAGTCAACCGCGGAGCGCCCACACGTCCCCACAAAGCTCTCTGACTGCCCTCGTACGACACCCATCTCAGGCGTTCATCTCCACCTACCTCTAGGAAGCTCAAGTATAAATAGGGGTGCTCCCCTCCAGGTAAAGGGGGAGTCTAACACAATCGACACCTGAATTTGGAACTGGTCTCAAAACTATATTCTATTTCCCCTCTTCGTACCCCGTATTAACTTGATCGTTAGAGATTCTACCTCAAGTTCTCACCCGGGGCCTCTACGTATTCAGTCTTGCAGTACCTCGGCCACCTGCCTTTGACTTCCACCTGCCTTTGGCTTCCACATTACTCGGAGCCTCCTCCGCCTTGGCCTGCATACCTCGACCTCAGCTGCAACCTCTCCGAACCCTGGAAGCCTTCGGCAGCCTCAGGAGCCTAGGGACGGAATTACCTTGTTTTCCTCGGCCAATCCGAGAACCAACAGCAAGAAACTAGAATCCTGTTTTATTTGGGATAACGAGTCCATGATCATGTATATGATGGAGTTTTAAAATGTAGTCAGTGCCGTGTTTGGACAGAAATATGGCCTGCTGCTGAGTAGGGTAGAACCATGTACACCATCCGCCAGAGAGTTAGCCCATTACTCATGAAAATGCAGAAAAGATACGGTTAGTTTACTGCACAAAGGCCTTCACTTTTCTACTTTACAGTAATGGGTAATCTTCAATGTACTGCACAGTCGCCCCAGTTTAGCCCCCAACCTTCAAAGTAAGGTTCAAGGGCATTTTGCATATTCACAGTGTTTGCATGTATGTTACCTGTTGCCAGGGAAGTTGGATTATACAGGTGGGCTTACAGAAAAAGAGATCATTAGAGCTGAGAGGAACTCTGGAGTGATTAGCAACAGAGTGAGGGGAATTCAAGTGAGTATGACCTGTTTCAAGTTGAAAGGCAAAGGGGATTACATTCTGCAGTTGCATTACTGTTCACCATCTTGTATGTTTATTTTCATGAAGGCACTCCCCAATTAACATAGTATCTGAACTCTCAAGAAATTTGGTTTTCAGATGCAAAAATACTTGAGGTAAATGGAACAGAAGGAACGTAGAGAAAAAGACCTCTGCGAAGGGCCAATGCTTTATAAGTGGGTCCTGACAAAGGAATTGAAGTTTTTTCCCTTTTCACTAGTTGCAACTAAATACACTTCTATGGTGATCTTTAGACTTCCTTGATTTTCAATCTCTAGCTTGATAAGTTTTAATTAGGTTCCACAATTGTAGGTGTGAAGTATGCACCTACACATGTTGAATGACTCTGAATTGCTTTCGGATTTCCAATGACATTCAACTTGATATATGAGAAATGAGAATACCTTATAATGCTTCCTTCTGTTCCATCAGACTCTTCTCCAACCTATAAATCTGAGAAGACTGATGCAGCCAGGTTGAAAAGTAAGCTGCATGTCTTGGATGTTTTCTTCTTCTGTGCAATGACTTGGGTGATGAAATGTTTAACTGGATTAAGGCTGTGTTTGGCATTAAGGTAAAGCAGCTTATTGGACTTTTAGAAAAGTCACTTAAAAAGTGGGACTCTCACACAGTTGTTACAGATGATCTGGTGGGTTAGGAGCATTCCCATGCGGTGTTGTAATTACAGCAAGAGTCTGTCACAGTGATTACAGAAACTCAAGATAGAATTTCCAGCTTAGCCCAAAAGAAATGTAAGATGAACCTATCAAAAAAAAAAATGTAAGATGGAATTTGTTGTTACATGATTACATCGACTAAACTGGAACATCAATATACCTCACCTACTTATATGGGTGAAAATTGAACCACCAACTCTGTTACTCCCTCTATTGGACCCTGTCCGTTCAAGTGTAAAGATGCCACCAACACTCCCGAATTTCTCCATCTCAGTCAAGTTCAAGTATGTAAAACGTGGTTATCAATCAGTATATTGTAAACCATATTCTCACCTTTTCTCCTATGAGCAATACTGCAATTGTAAGTTAAAACAGATTAAAAGACCCCAGGACAACTAAATAATTAATTTTAAATCCAAAGCACAAGATAACAACCAAGCTATGTAGAAGTATTCAATGAGCTGAATGCTGCAAAACCCATCAGATAAAATTCTTTATCCATGGACCCCATAATATGAACATGACCAAGTACTAGACTGTTAGCTGATCCTAGAAATAAATGAAATTCAGTACAAGCAAACAAAATGCCTTTTTCGATAGTTGATGCCCGCGGGCGGTCGTGCTGCCCTCCCCGGTGAAAAATTTGGGGTCGGCCCGGCAAGTATTGAGTCAAAGCTATTTATTAAAAAAAAATTGGTAAAAAACTTAAAATTTTAATTTTTATATGAATTTTGTGTATATAATTGTTTATATATATAATAATTAAATAAATTAGTACAATAAAATAAAAAAAAAAATATTTATTTTATTAATATATTATATACTATATATTATTATATAATTATAATTTGTATATATCATTTAAATATATATAAACAATATATGTGGGTCGTGCTGTGGGCCATGCAAGGATGGGGTGTGAGTTGGATCATACCGTGTCGTACCGGTCCGTAAACCTAAAACCCCAGGCCAATATAGCCTACATGATCGTATTGAATCTGGCACAGCCTGCAAACCGTCGTACCCTATTTACACCTCTAAACATGACAAAGTACTAGATGTTTTCAATATGACTGATTGTGTCTACAAAATGCCCTGAAGAAAAAATTCTTTTATTGAATAGGGTTGAGATCATTGAAATCCATTACCCATAGAAATACCACAGTGAATTTCATAAATACACTAATTGCTGAAGAAGACAAGAATTAATTTCACTTTTTATTCATGTTTTAGCATATCAATTTGTTTAGTTAATACTTTGATATCCTAGAAAATCTAGAAACATAAACCAGTTCATTTCAATGTAGCCCTGATAGAATCATAAAATTATAATAAATTGTAAGGTACCTGCTCTATTATCTTATTGTCAATATGAAAGTGCGTCGTTTTTCTCTATCAAACGCGTAGATTATTTTCTTTGGTGAATCTTGTCCCTTGTCTCACATGATCTGATTGGACATCTAATCTGATTGTTCACTGTGAATGGGAAATATGAAGAAGCATTGGAGAAGTTTGAAATCTGTACTGGAATCAAAACCAGACCTAAACGAAACTTCAGTAGCAAGTTACAATGTCGTTTGCCGTTATTCCAATCCTACTTTAGCGCGGCGCTGCATCATTAATTTTAATGAAGAGTAGCAGTTGTACTTTTGTAATTCATTTCTATTTCACCTCCTTGCACTGTAGTGATTGATGTAAACTTTAATTGATGAGTTAAGGAGACATTATTCCTCTACACTTGTGTCTTCATATTTTCCATTAAGTTCTCTGCATTATTCCCTTTATCTTTTGGCAGATACAAGTTGGACTCTCTGCACTTGAAGGTAACAAAATTATAATTCTTTGCTCTAGTGATGCCTGCACTCTGCAGTCCATGTTACTGGGGTGACATTTTAACAGAGAACTCATCCTGAGCTAGTCAGTTTGGGGACGCCTGAATAATTAAAGCCTCTGTTGAAAAGGCTCGATGAATCCTTCATCGATTGAGAATGCCATCCAAATCTCTCTTTGGGATCCAACAAGAGGTAAGTCGCACACCTTAACTCACAACAGAACTCTCAAGGCCTGACTCTCATTTCAGAGCTTTATGTAAGGGACTAAGAATTGCTTGAAGAAAAGAGGCCAAAAGAAATTTTCCAATGGGTGATTTTTTTTTTTTTTTGGATCAGTTCCAATGGGTGGTTTTCTATTCATTGTTTTTAAATTTGTCTTGTAGGTCTATAACTCTATCTGGGAGAAGGGTTGGGTGAAGTCATGAAGAAGTTTCAAAAGGTCTCGTTTTCAGCCTTGTATTACCCCTGTTTTGCTTGACCTTCAATTTTAAGTCAGAAGAAGAATGAATATATATTATTCAAGTACTCTAATCTCAAAATACCTTAGATATAAATTGTTGACATCTATTTACAAGTGAAATGGATTTTCATTACAAGGTACAAACGTGTCGCTTCATAATTAAAATGTAACATTTACTTCCCTTAGAACTTTTGCAGCATCCTCAGGGAAAACAGGATTAATGTAGCACCCACTTCCAATCTCAAATCCCCCCAGCACTGTTAGTTGAGGTACAATTTGTAAAAACCAATGACTATATGGTAACTGTTCGGGTGCAACCCGAAGTGGAGAAGTATGTATCATAAAATTGAATGGTGGGTCATTTAACTGCTTCGCTAGCTTCAACAGCATGAGCTTCAGCAGTCCCCCAAGGTCTACAGCCTGTCAAGGATGTGCAAGGAACAAATATTAAAACATGTAAATATCCATATTTATGAAGATAACCAGAATCCTAACATATGGATGATAACATATAAGGTTTCTATTTGGAAACATTAAGCAAACATACCATTAGATTAAGATACCCAGAAGTCGTTAACAACTTATCCTTTAAAATATGCGGTTAACGACTCAGCTTAACTAGGGCCATATCTAACAATGGTAAGTCTCAATCCCCTTGCCTGCATATTGGGGAAAAAATCCCCTGCTTGAAGCAATAAATTAGGCTAGGCTTAATGATGGTTATCAACCTAGAGCGTACTTTAGAGTATAGATTTACAGTCAAGAGCCTTAAAGCCCCGAACCAGAGCATTGTCCCTTATTAATGGTCATGAGATAAGGTAAAAAGTAGTCTTACAAATAACCACCACAAACATTGTGTTTCCATAGAGGAAGAAGAAGTCATCTCCCTTCACCCCTTTCAGTACTGAGTACCCATCATGTTTTTCACTCCAAAATCCTAATCCATAGACATGCACTTGTGCCATGCATGACCTCATTCAGATCCATAAACATGTTCTTGGTCTCAGGGCCATTGGAACATTATGAATTTAGTTATTGTCCCAGTCAGGGAACGGCTGGTCAGAATCATAAAGTAAGAATCTCCTTTCTTCATTGAAATACCAATACTATATCTTTAATATAACTAGCAGAGGGGCACAAGCTTTGCATGCGAGTTTAAGGCCTAATGATTCATGAAAGTTTATTCTCTTAAAAAATATTAGTTTCATGGTTCACTTTTTTTGGTTCTTTGTTGTTAAATATGTCAAACGTGTGATTTATTGAGGGGTTTTCTAGAATAAATTCTATCTGGGAATGGGGTTTCTGTGAGTGTAACTTTTAAATTTTAAGGTATCTTTCTGTTTGATTTTCTTGTTCTTTCTTTCTTTTGTCTATTTTTTTGGTGGGGATTGGAATTGGAAGGTGGCTGCTGGAGATGAAGACAGAGACCTGATATATCTACTTTCTTTTAAAGCATCTTTGTTCAAAATAATGACTGATTAGATAACTAAATAACCGGATTGGGTAAACATCAAGAGTTCAGACATGTCTTTCCAGTTCCCTATCAGACAACATATGAATCTGGAGCTGCTTATAAGGCAGATCAAGAGATATATGAAACAAGTTAATATCACAATGACCAAACAGTCAATATAAAAGGATGTTCTTCATCTGTGTTTCAAAAAGTAGATGTCATCCAAGAACCCCAAAAAAAAGATTCCTCAGTCAAATGGAATGTATTTCTGGCCTTGTGAGGTCAAGGCAATTTTTTCTCAACTATGATCCATAGGGAGAATGTTTTGTTCCCACTATTTATGTTTCTTTGTTAAGTTTCTTTACCTCCATACTGCAATAGCAAGCACAAATATACAGATTCAGATTGAAGATATACTGGAAAGTGGCAACTATAGCATATACCCCAACTTCCAAAATAGATCTTGATATAGGTGTATTTGACAACCATGTTAAGGAATAGGAGTTGCACTCATGTAATTGGTAAAGAAAAGGAACATCTTGCACGCCTAGACCCATTCTTTCATATTGTCTGCACTTCATTTTAATTCAGTTTAAAAGAATATGATATGAGAAGTGCTATCTACGCTTGTTCATAAAAAAATAAAAAAAAAAGAGCTATCTACACCTTTCAGTATTCTCCACAACCCCAAAAAAGAAATGAAAGAACTAAAATGGGGCTCTGCGTACTCTAGCAAACAACTAAAATGCAATGGGTGTTATGCAAACAGACTGAAAATGCAGAGAGAGTTTTGGGATCAGACTGACGTGCAAGCATGCATTCAGCATGGAAAATTAAGATAACATAGTTTGGATCTAAGCATCATTTCCCAAACTCCACAGTCTGCCTGAACATCATATTCAGTGAAAGAGATTATAGAATATGAAAATGAAAGATAWGGGTGCTCAGCTGTTTGCTTTAGGATGTGTCTGRGTTGATAGAAAATCAGAGACAAATAGCCTTATTTTAACYAAGCAAAACACAGCCTTAGCAACACCCATTGCCAAAAGTGATCGCATTATGGTCTTGTATTTGCATGTTGGAGGAATCAAATCAAATGAGAAAGATAAAACTGGATCATATCAAAACCCCAATAGAGGACTGAAAGGGCCAGCATGCATATGCAATGGGTGTCATGCAATCACACTGAAAGGGCAGAGAGTTTTGGGTTCAGACCGACGTGCAAGCATGCATTCAGCATGGAAAACTCAGATAATGTAGTTTGGATCTTAGCATCATTTCCCAAACTCCACAGGCTGCCTGAACATCATATCCAGTGAAAGAGATTATAGAATATGAAAGTGAAAGATATG